CACGGTCGTTCGGCCTGCGGTCAATACACGGCCAGCAGGGGCATTGGTCCGACACCTATCGCCAGAGGAGGTCAAACGGCGACGAGAAAAGAATCTCTGTTTTAAGTGCGAAGAGAAGTTTACCCCGGGGCATCAGTGTAAGCAAGCCTTTGTCATAGAAGTGGCCAACCCGGACGACAAGGAGGTTGAGGTCGAGGAGGAACCGCCTCAGGACGACGAGACTGAGGACTTCAAAGATGAGCCGGAAATCTCGATGCACGCTATGGCCGGGATACGAGGTCCTCGGACAATGCGCCTACCAGCTTGGGTCAAGGATCGAAAGGTGATGGTGCTAGTAGACAACGGGTCATCTCACAACTTCATCAACGCCGAGTTGTCCTAAAAATTGAATTTGCCAACTATGAATATTGAACCCTTTGAGGTAAAGGTAGCCAACGGGGAGAGGCTGCAATGCACTAAGTCCTTTCGGAAGGTACCAATCAGGTTTAGCGGAGTTACGGTAAAGGCTGATCTATATGCCTTACCCCTGGTTGGACCAGATGTAGTGCTGGGCGTCCAATGGCTCGAAGGACTGGGCAAGGTAACGACCGACTATCGAACAGGAATTATGGAGTTCAACTCCGAAGGACGTCAGGTCACCCTCAGCACTAGCACGGACAAGGAAGCCAAGGAAGTAGGGTTGAAGAGCATCGAGAAAGTTTGGCGTGGTGGGGGCCAAATCTTTGCCGTAGTAGTCGAAGATGTGGGAGCACACTCGAACAAGAACACACAACAACAAGGAGATGTGCGTGAGCTTCTAGAAGAATTTGAAGGAGTCCTGGGCGAGCCCAAAGGACTACCGCCGCACCAAGAGTTCGACCATCGCATACCGTTGGTCAATGAACAGCATGCCATACATGTCCACCCTTATAGGTACGCTCACTTTCAGAAAACCGAGATCGAACGGCAAGTGGCCGAGATGCTTGAATCAGGTCTCATACAGCATAGCACGAGTCCATTCTCTTCTCCAGTTCTGTTGGCTAAAAAGAAAGACGGTGCGTGGAGATTCTGTACTGACTACCGAGCTCTAAACGCTGCAACCATTAAGGACAGATTTCCCATCCCCAGTGTCGACGATATGCTCGATGAGTTAGCCGGATCACGTTATTTCTCTAAGCTCGATCTAAGAGCTGGCTACCATCAGATTCGACTTCACAAAGCTGACATCCCAAAGACAGCCTTTCGTACACACCAGGGGTACTATGAGTATCTGGTTATGCCATTCGGCTTGTGCAATGCCCCATCTACTTTCCAGTTCGCCATGAACTCTATTTTCAATGAGTACCTGCGTAAGTTTGTCCTGGTGTTCTTTGACGATATCCTGATCTATTCAAGGTCATGGAACGAACATCT